TGCAGCAATTTCTGGATAGATTCCGTATTGCTGTTTACTTTTTTCTCCAAGTTGCCTAATGTTTCTGTATTTAGGTCAATTTTCCTGTTTGCAATATCCACTTTCTGACTGGTCTCTTCCACCTTCCTGTTCGTCTCTCCCACTTTTGTAGATAGCTGCTGTATTGAATCATTAATCTTAGACAGAGCACTAGCTAAAAATTCCTCCGACATTCCACCAAGCTTAGATTGTGTTGCCGATGTAGGCAGACCAGCAGATGATTGCCTTCTATGTGTCCAAGGTTTCCCTGATCTCAAGGTTGACTGGTCCTTAAAACCATCAGCCATAACAGAGTGAAGGTCAGGTTACTTTCCCACGTCCACTCTTCCTGTTTATACTTGGAAAATTCCTTTCCTTTCCTGCAGTTACAGAAAGTCCCACTAGATGGACACTGTTGCCACTTAACAAGTTACTGTCTTTTAAAACAACAAGGGAAAGATACTAAGTAAGAGGAAAAAAAAGAGTCCAAAGTAAAAGCCACAATATAACTTTTCAGTCTTTTCCAGTCTTTTCTCAGTAAAATTGGCCACTCTGTATCTCCTTTGCAGCCAGCAAACAGCTTTAGCAATTTTGACAGCTTTGACAGCTGAGTGACAGATCACTCATTTAGTCTTTCAGTTTAAACAATCCTGTAAAATCAAAAGTCTTTCCCTTAACTCTCCTAAGGGTAGATCCCTCCAAAGTCCTCAGGTCAGAAGATTACACTTATTTCAATTCAGCTCTTCACGTTTAGCTCCAAATCTCTTTGCTTTGTTCTTTATACAATGCAGTGAAGCCGACTTCCTGTTTAAGCTTCCACCGCGGTAGCCAATTCAGCCATTTTTAAAAGCTTTAAACTTTTCCGCTTTTTTGCCAAAGTTCCAAATTAGTCCAAATTCTACTCTTTTGTCCAATTCCTCTACTCACGGTTAGTTTTAAGTCCGAATTTCCCAGGAATAAGTCAGCGCTCTCCAGCAACGGCAACGCGGCTTCGCTCAGCGGGAGCAGCGATCCGCTCGCAGCACCGCGCTTCTCTCCCCCGCTCCCTTCCGAAGCCTCAAAAAGGCTTCTTTTCAGGTTGGGGGGGGCGCTTCAGGGTGCCCGCCGAGCCTCCACGTTCGCAGGCGTCCGCGCCTGCGATTTCTGAGGGTCCCCGCTTCGCCGGAGCGCACAGGACCCGATCTCCCGCTGAGCTACCCCCTCCGAACTTCAAAGGAGGTCAGCCATTGCTGCTGGCACCAACCGGAAGTTTCTGTGGGGCTTTTTCAGGGGAGCGCGTAGCCTTAGAGCTTCCCCTACGGGTCCGAAGTAGCAGTCTGGAAGTCTCTCACTGGGTGACCTTGAGCCAGTCACTGCCTCTCAACTGGGCCTCCTCACAGGGTTGTTGTGGGGATTGAAGGGGGAGAACCATCTGTGGCAACATGGGCTCCTTCAAGGATTGGTGGTGTGATATTATTATTATTATTATTTTGCCCACCTTTACCTTAAGTTCCCAGGTAGGGCTGGGCGGTATCAGGTTTTCAACATCACAATATATCACCAGCTAAATATCACTATATCTATATACATCTATATCTATATCTATCTATCTATCTATCTATCTATCTATCTATCTATATGGTGGGGGGGGCCTCGCTGGGCATCCCTGTGGTGTCAGAGGGTCCTGCCATACTTCCCCATGGTGGCGGAGGGTGTGCTGCACTTTCCTGCAGCAGCCGAGGGCTTTAACGAGGCTCCCTGTGGCAGTGGAGGGCCTTAAAATGTAAGGAAGTAGTAGATTTAATAAAAATATTAAATAAACTTCCATATATTATATTTAATATATTTTCAACTAATTTAAGAATAGTTCAAGTGATTTACTAGTCAAGCTGCATCTGCTTCCCCACTCAGAGATCTAAGTACAATCTATGCACTGAGTTCAACTAAACTTACTTCTACTTTCCTGGGAGTAAGCCCCATTGAATTCAGTAGGGCTTGCTTGTGAGTAGACACACATTTGCTTGCACCCTCCCCATCATTCTACACATTATCCAACCTCCTATTTCAGCATAAAGTAGCCTGCTAAATCTTCTCCCTTCCGTCCCCCCAGGGCCCCCTAAAAGCCCTCATTCCGCCAATCTCTCCCTTTTTATCAAAGGGAGGGAGGGCAAGCAAGCAAAAAGAAAAGTCTCCTTTAACTTACTTACTTACTAACTAACTAACTAACTAACTAACTAGCCCTTCCTTTTTAATATGAAGGAGAGCAATTTAGGAGAAACCAACAACATAAACACTACAGAAAATAAAAATAAAAACTCTTCCCCCTCTTTTTTTTTCACCTGTGGGAGTGAGTGTGAGGGAAGAAAGAAGAGCTTTCCAGTTCTTTGTTTACATTCTTTGTTTACTCCTCCCCCCCCCCGCTGGATTTTTGTCTAGCTATGGGACATTCCTCCTGGATTGTTAGCAGGCTCTGCATAATTAACTGAGCTCTAAGTGGAAATATACAGGTGAAGCTGAAAGAGTTTGCTGGTTTGTGTGAGGGCTTATCTTCATTTATTTTCAGGGAGGAGGGAGAGAGCAAGCAAAGCTGGAGTATTGTACAGCTGAGCTACACCCTGGGAAGCTGTTAAGTCTCCACCTTTTGTTCATTGGTATATTGCCTTGTTGAAACACTTATCACAATGTTATTTCAGTACAATGGTATGGCGATTTATTGCATAGCACTAGTCCCAGGGCAGGTTACAGCAATATAAAAGCAATATTAAGAACATTTTAAAACAACTTACCATCAAAGGAATAATGTGGCTCCCCAAAATATACCGTATTTTTCGCTCTATAAGACGCACCAGACCACAAGACGCACCTAGTTTTTGGAGGAGGACAACAAGAAAAAAAATATTCTGAATCTCAGAAGCCAGAACAGCAAGAGGGATCGCTGTGCAGCGAAAGCAGCAATCCCTCTTGCTGTCCTGGCTTCTGGGATAGCTGTGCAGCCTGCATTCGCTCCATAAGATGCACACACATTTCCCCTTACTTTTTAGGAGGGAAAAAGTGAGTCTTATAGAGCAAAAAATACAGTACACCTTAAGTTGTCAAAAGCCAGAATAAAGAGGCACATCTTTAATATTCACCTCTGTGGGGAAGGAGTTCCACAGCTTAGAGACTGCCACAGATAATTCCCTCTCCTCGCCCACTTCTCCCACCTCCCAAACTTCTGAGGGTGGTGGATCAACGAAGAGCCCCCCGGCTGATCTTAAGAGACAAGAGGGTCTGTAGGAAAGGAGGCAATCTTTCTTCTTCTTCTTCTAGGACCTGTCAGCAGCCTTCGACATGGTCGATCACGAACTCCTTGCCGACGTGGGATCCAGGGCACAGTCCTTCAATGGCTGTGCTCGTTTCTCTCTGGTCGGGGACAGGGTGTCGCTTGGGGAATTGTCATCGCGCCACTCCTGGTGTGTGGAGTGCCTCAGGGTGCGATATTCTCCCCAATGCTTTTAACATCTTTATGCGCCCTCACCCAGCTTGTCCGGAGTTTTGTTCTGGGCTGCCATCAGTATGCTGATGACACCCAACTCTATCTGTTGATGGATGGCCATCCGGACTCAGCCCCAGACACGCTGATCAGATGTTTGGAAGCTGTGGCTGGATGGTTACGTGGGAGCCGGTTGAAGTTAAATCCTTTGAAGACAGAGGTCCTCTGGCTGGGACGGGACGATATGGGATTGAGGGGGCAACTCCCATCTCTTGCGGGGGTGCAATTAGTGCCAGCACCGTCCGTTAAGAGTTTGGGTGTAATCTTCGATATTTCCCTCTTCATGGAGGCACAGATTACAGCTATAACAAAGGCGGCATTTTTTCATCTCCGCCAAGCTAAGCAGTTGGCTCCTTACCTCTCTCGCCCTTACCTAGCCACTGTGATCCACGCGACGGTCACCTCCAGACTGGATTATTGTAACTCGCTCTACGTGGGGCTGCCCTTGAGACTGACCCAGAAACTCCAGCGGGTGCAGAATGCCGCGGCGAGACTCCTTACAGGGTCTTCGCTGCGAGATCACATTCACCCGGTGCTATACCAGCTGCACTGGCTCCTGGTGGAGTACAGGATCAGGTTTAAGGTGCTGGTTTTAACCTTTAAAGCCCTATACGGCTTAGGACCCTTGTACCTACGGGACTGCCTCTCCTGGTATGTCCCACAGAGGAACTTACGGTCTTCAAATAAAAACATCCTGAAGGTCCCAGGCCACAGAGGTTTGGCTGGACTCAACTAGAGCCAGGGCTTTCTCGGCTGCGGCTCCAATCTGGTGGAACGCTCTGTCACAAGAGACTAGGGGCCCTGCGGGATTTGACATCTTTCTTGCAGGGACTGCGAGACAGAGCTGTTCCACCAGGTCTTTGGTCAGGGCGCAGCCTGACTCCCTCCTTTGGCAATCTTTACAGAACTTAAGCTTAATGGTTGCCATCAATTGGATTTTAATTAATTTTTATAATGAAATGTTTTTAGAATGTTGCACTATTTTATTGTTGTTAGCCGCCCTGAGCCCGGCTTCGGCTGGGGAGGGCGGTATATAAATAAAAATTATTATTATTATTATTATTATTATTATTATTATTATTATACAGCTATTTGGTGCCTGAGTCATTGGAATATGAACCTGGGACCTTCTGCATGCAAAGCATGCACTCTGCCACTGAGCTATGGCCCTTTCCCTAAAAATAAAGATTTCTATTCCTTGTGAGAATGATTTAAAAAGGAATGTAGAAGGCTGCCTTAGAATGAGTCAGATGCTCTCCAGGGTTTCAGACAGTGGACATTCTCAGTGTGAATGTTTGGGATCTTAACCAGGGGTTGCGGGCAACTAATCACAATTAAGCACGGTCTGCCCTGGGGTCCTGTATTTGGAAAGGGGGCAGGGGGGATCTGGGTTTGTTGACTGCATTTGGAAATTTTCTTACTTGATACCTCTGACAATTGGCTTTCTCTGAGTGCGTTGTTCTTTTTCCCCTCCAGGTCATGCTGCCACTGCTGTGTCTAGCCAGCTCCCAGCCCGACTACACAATGGCCTGGGCAGAGTACTACAGACAGCAGGCTGCTTATTATGGCCAGACATTAGGACAAGCTCAGACTCACAGCCAGGTGGGTCTCGCTTCTCTGCCGTATCTGCATCCCCCTTACTGACAACTGTTCCTTGTTCAGTTCAGCCTTGAAAACAATTAAACAGAAGCACCTAGCCCTGTGTACAGTGGTACCTCGGGTTAAGAACTTAATTCATTCTGGAGGTCTGTTCTTAACCTAAAACTGTTCTTAACCTGAGGTACCATTTTAGCTAATGGGGCTGCCGCGTTGCCGCCGCACGATTTCTGTTCTCATCCTGAAGCAAAGTTATTAACCCGAGGTACTATTTCTGGGTTAGCAGAGTCTGTAACCTGAAGCATATGTAACCTGAAGCGTATGTAACCCGAGGTACCACTGTATCTTATTATGTTGCTTGTGGCCACTCCCACCCTCCTAAAAAAAGAGAACCAAGTCAAAGTTTTTGCAACATTTTCTACCTTGGTTGCTTGGAAGGGATTCTGAAGTCACACCGGGCGACTGTATTCCAAACTTAGTTTAACTTAATTTAAACTTAAAACTTAAGTTTTTCTCCTCTCTCATAACATTAGGACTCATGGACAAACAGTGCAGCTGAATGTTGGAATGTTGTCAGATTCAAGGCATATAAAAGAAAATGACTTATTCACGCAGTGCATAGTTTAACTATGGGACTAGCTCCCACAGGAGGAAGTGATGACCACTAAGCTGGATGGTTTTAAAATAGTATTGGACAAGTTCATGGAAGAGAGGGTTATCAATGGCTACTAGCCATGATGACTATGCTCTGCCTCCACAGTTGCAGGCAGCAGTGCTTTCAAATACCAGTTGCTGAAAACCACAGAGGGGCGAGTGCTCTTGTGTTGAAACCCTGTTTTCTGGTTTCCCACGGGCATCCAGGTGGCCACTGTGAGAACAGGAGGCTGGACTAGATGGGCCATTGTTCTTAGGTTATGATTCCCAAACTTAGTTTAGCCTCTTCCGGATCTGGTGAAAGCAAAGTCAAAACTGTAACAGTGTAACGTACATTTCCAAGTAATGAGCTGCATACTGGCAAGCAGCAGATTCTGCATTTCTCAGATTTATGAGAGCTCAGGTTCATTTGCGCTCACATTTTCTGAATTAAAATTGGAGTCAATGCTTTGCTCTTACTCTTTGCCTTTTAAGGTGGTGTGAGATAGCATGAAATACTGATAATTACCAGCTCCTTACATTTCTGTGGAGAAGCCAATGGTGGTCTCTGCTAACAAAAGCGTAGGGGATGATTTTTGCCCATTCTCCACCTCTTTGTGGCCCCTAGAGAGAGGGGCCATAGCTCAGTGGTACAACATCTGCTTTGCATGCAGAAGGCCCCATGTTTGATCCCCGTTGGCATCTCCAGGTAGGGCTGCAAATGTCTCCTGCTGGGAGAGCTGCTGCCAGTCAGGGCAGACAGTACTGAACTAGATGGAACCAATAATCTGATTTAGTAAAAGGCTACCCCTTTTAATGAGGAGGACACCACTCAGTGTTTATAGCATCTTTCTTGCATGCAGAATATTCCAAGTTCAATCCTCGGCATTTCTAGATAGAGTGAGAGAGACTCCTGCCTGTGTAACCCCTGGAGAGTTGCTGCTGGTTAGGGTAGACTATATTGAGCTAGATGGGCCACCTTTCACTCTTTTATGGAGGGTCCCCCAACTCCTTTTCCATTAGTAGACACCTCTTCCGAGATCCAAAAGCTGCCTGTGATTGTAAGGCACAGAAGCCACAGCCTTGCTCCACTGTTAGCTAGCCCACTCCATGCAAATGGTGCTCAGGGAACAATGCTTCTCAACATGAGGGCTTTGCCTCTGAACACCAGTTGCTGGGAGCACACAGTTGGAGTAGGGGAATTAGAGGCATCTGTCAGGCCACTATGGTAAACTGGGGTAGAGTGGAGAGAACCTGTGGCTTTCCAGATGCTGCTGGACTACAACACCCACCATCCCTGGACCATTGGTCGGGAACCTGATCTAAGAAGAGGCATTCCCCCACCCCCGCCACCCTCTATCTTGTGGGAATGCCTCTTTAATCTCTTGCATGCAGCAGGTAATGTTGCTTCTCAGATCAGGGAATGGTGACCCTGTAGCCTTCTAGTTGCTGCTAGACTACAGCTCCCATCATCCCTGACCACTGGCTATGCTCGCTCGAGGCTGATGGGAATTGTAGTTCAACATCACAGTTTAGCTACTTCTAATCCAAATTAGCCCCTTTGGTTTGATCCAGCCACAAGTTATTTTGTTTTAATTATTTCCTGAAAGTTCTCTTTCCTTCTTAACACAGATTTTTCATTTTGTCTTTTTCTACTCTTTGCAGGAACAGTAGAACTACATCCTTGACTCGTCTTCATTTCCCTCCCCAACCACTTTCTCTCTTCTTTCTCATAATCATTGTGGAAATTAACCTTTTTGTAACAGAGGGTTTCTAGATTTGCAACATTTTGATGAAGAACTCTTGGGTTTTTTGTGTGTGAAACACTAGTTGTTAGGACAATCTATACTGAACTTTTTTCTAAGAATCAGGAACAATTAGTGATGTACTAAACTTTATGGACTTTGCTGGGTAATCTTTTATTTTTTGGTTGTTGTTTTTTTGGGGGGGGGGGCTTTTTTGATTTTCCAAATTTATAAGGAAAAAGAGAGAGAGAGAGAGAGAAAGCAAGCAAGCAAAACTCTTGGATCTGTATTTTGGGGTGGGAGGAGAGAAGAATAACTGTCATCTAATCTTACCCCAGAGCTGTGAGATTTCAGCAAGTGGTTTTTCTTTCTTTCTTTTCTGTTGTAGCAGAAAAAGGCTTGGAAGTCTTAGGTGATATGTAACAAATTTTAAAAATAAAAAAATGGAAAATTATAAAAAACAGTATTTAAAAATTCTTAAATATGTAAATTTATTAAATATTTTACTACTAATTTCTTGTACCTTTGCTTTCTTTTTGATTATATTGCATTTTTTAAAAAAGAAAAAGAAAAACTGAACTATAGTATGTTATTATAATTAATTGTGTGAATTCTTATCAGGATGGTTACTGTTTACTGTCAAGCTGGTTATCAGCGGGCAAATTTTTGTAGTGACGGCTGTATAATTTCTAGAAATCTAAAGGGATAATATAAAAAATGATGTGTTTAATTTTTTAGCAATTCTGGTTTGCTTTCCACATTTTCCATTTTCTGGTTGCATCTGTGTATCTAAGACCTCCAAGCTTTGTCTAAAAAAATAAAAAATAAAAACAAAATACCTTTTGTCTATTTCAGAAATAAATACTGTTATTTTTAATATTAAAATGAAACTGCTATTATTAGTACCTTTAACAAAAACTGTGGAACATTAAGTCATATAAAATAGTAGTAACTATTTTTAATTCCAGGGTTGGTGTGTGTTGCTTCTCCCTCCCCATTTTTATTTGTTTTTAAGTATTTTGTTATCTTAATAGTTGTCAAAAAAATTACCTAGAGAAATAAAATAAAAGTGACATCTAGTATTAACCCCAGGTATGCCAATAAATAATGTTTTGATTTAATAAAGGGGATAATATGATTTCCAGTGTTTACTTGTAGTACTTTCTTGTACAGATAAGTGTATTTTTAAAGGAGGGGAAAAAAATAATAAAGAAAGTAAAGCTATTTTTTCTTGACATTTTTGATTGACCTGCAGGACATTTCATTTTGAACTGTACTAAAGTTATTGATCTAGGTTATTTCCCCTCCCCTGATTTCTTTATAATACTTGAAATGTCTAACTATACGGAAACACAATTAGAGAATGTTGAGCATGATGTGTTTTAAACAAACAAAAATTGTTCATTTTATTTGACTGACAGTTGCATTTCACAATCTCTATAATAATAAAAACCAATCCACAAGGCAATTTGTGGGTTAAGTATTAAGACTGTTTGATCACTGCTCCATTTCCTGAAAAGAGTAACCCCCATCTTCCGTTTTAGTTTTCCGGAGGAAGTGGGACATGTTTTGTTTGTGTGTGTGACTTGCTGGTGAGAGTCTTTTATAAGACATCTGAAGGCAGCCCTGTTTAGGGAAGCTTTTAATGTTTGATGTATTATAGTATTTTAATATTTTTGGGAAGCCGCCCAGAGTGGCTGGGGAAGCCCAGCCAGATGGGCGGGTTATAAATAATAAATTATTATTATTATTATTATTATATATTATTATTATTATTAAACAACTATACTGTAGTGGCTGATAGTTCCCAACCAGTACTTTTCATCCCTTGTGAACTCTGTTTCAATGTTACACCAATGTTTTTTCCTTTTCCTCCATGCTCCCCCCCCCCCCCAGATGTGCTGTAGTGGTTATGGAATGCCCCAGGCCCAGGGCAAAGAAACAGCTCCTCAAAGGAAGCATTTTATAAGCAGAAAACTCTTCTGATGATTTCCTGCTGCTCAAGTCAAGCTTGAGGGTGGATGGGGTGGCATTTTCTCTGTCTACGACTCTCACTCTCCTCCATCCCAACTGTTGCTCTTCTAACTTCAAGGCTGCAATCCTGGTCCCACTTATTTGTGAGTAAGCCCCATTGAACATAATAGGCATGTTCCATGAGTTGATTGTGGTTTGGATTACGTTGCAAAATATTGCTGTGTTTCCCAAATCCTTGGCAGCATAAAATTTCTTCCTGGAGATTAGTTCTTCTTTGACACTCTTGTTAGCATTTCGCTCCTTTGTTGCTGGATGTGTGATTGTTACATCACATGTCTGTGTTTACTTTCTAGGCTTGGAAAGTCTGAGAACGGAAGTCAGTCTTATCTCTTCCGCTGTACTGTACTTTTGTACTGTTTCTTTTTTTCTCTCAGAGAAGAGAGAGGATGCCATGGTTGCTTTGTCCTGTATATATTGCTTAATAAATCAGTTACAATGCTACACTCACGCTCCACGATCGTTTCTGCTATACTCTGCTGATAGAGTGTGCACGTCTTTAGATATGTCTTTAGATATGTGTCGCTGGTGCACACCAGGACTGAGTTGTAGAATGTCCCGGGCTGCACTTCATCAGGAAGACGCCCAGAGAGGTCTGTCTCATTCCGGGGGCTGCGTGTGCCCCCCAGGCGTGTTCTGACAATGGTTTGTGAGATTTTGACCAGCTTCGGCCCATCTGAAGCTGATACAGGCTCGTCTTATCTTGAGCCCAAGCAGAGTAGTCCACACAGCAGAAGGATAAGCAGTATGTGCCACATTCTTAACTTTATTTCCACTCTATGCTGAGAGCATACAAACATGCATCTTGCCTCTGTGAGAGCAGAGAAGCAACCTCATCTCGGAAACAAAGAACACCAAGAGAACAGTGAAAAACAGGAAACCAGTGTACGTCACATCCAGTCTCCCATTCCCATGGGAATCCAACAGTAACTCTGACTGTGGAATGTAAACAATTGTCTTGTGACAAGCATTTTGCTGCACAGTGAGGGAAATAGAAACCAACATCCTCCCCCTTTCTGTGAACATCACTGGGCAGCATGTTCGTACAGTATCAGTACAAACCCAATTTCTGCACATAGGTACAGTGTTGATCCCTTGATACAATCTTGGACAATACATCAGCAGGAATTTCATTACCTGGCATATAGGACACCGTTACGAGTCCCTTCTGAACACATTCCCTAGCATGTTGCAGTTTCAATTGCAAATGCTTTGTCCTTTGCTTACATCCTTCAGAATTCAGCAAAGCCAAACATGCTTTGTTGTCCTGGTAAACCTGGATTGGACATTTGACAGGAATTTTCATGTCTTTGCACAATTGTAACAACCATTCACAATCTTTAAGTGAATAAGACAGTGCATTCAGTTCAGCTTCACAAGTACTTAAGCTAACTGTTGTTTGCTTCTTGCATGACCAATCAAAAAGACCCTGATTGTACATGTAGCAAACTCCAGACGTGCTTTTCCTGTCTGTAGTGTCACCACCAAAACTTGCATCTGCAAATATTTCAAGACCACCAGACTTCTGATTGTTAAATCTCAGTCTGTAATGCATAGTGCCTTTCAAATAGCGAGCTATGCATTTCAGAGCTTTCCAATCCTTAACAGTAGGATTGTTGACTTGTCTGCTTAGCAAATTACAGCTAACAGCAATGTCGGTTCTTGAACATCTGGCAATGAAGTTCAGTTTACCTAGCACACTTCTGTACAGTGTAGTGTCAAAAAATGCTTCTTCAGTGTCATCTACCTGATAACCTGTTGTCATCGGTGTGTCTACAGGGTTAGCATCCATCAGGTTTAGTTTGCTTAACACATCAGCAATTTTCCGTGACTGGTGTACTAGAATGTTACCATCTTGATCTCTCTCTATTTCCAGAGATAGGTAGTTGTTTACCTCACCAAGATCTTTCATGTCAAAATGCTCTTTCAGTTGAGCTAGGGCGTTATTGTACATTGTGACATCCTTCCAAAAGAACAGAATATCATCAACATAAAACAAGCAATACAGCTTCTTTTGCCCCTCCTCTTTGACAAATACACATGGATCAGCTTTCCCTTGCTGAAAACCTAGAGAAAACAATACTTCAGTGAGTTTTGTGTGCCAACACCGTGCACTTTGTTTGAGACCATAAAGGGACTTCTTCAGAGCACAAACAAATCCCTGTTTTACCTGTACGCCATCAGGTGGAAGCATATAAAGAGATTCACCTAGAGATCCGTACAAAAATGCTGTATTCACATCGTGGTGACTAGCGTGAAGATTCTCTTCTGCAGCAAGCTTGAGCATAAGCCTAAAGCTCTCATACCTCACGGTGGGTGAGTAGGTCTCGTGATAGTCTTCACCTGGTACCTGTGAAAAACCTCTGGCTACCAATCTGGCTTTGTGTCTGACTATCTTACCATTTTGATCAGTCTTCGCTTTGAAGACCCATTTGCTTCCAAGCAGTTTCATTCCTGGAACTACTGGAACTAGCTCCCATGTTTTGTTCCTCTCTAAGGAATCAAGCTCAGCCTTCGTGGCATTTAGCCATGGCTCAGCATCATTTGAATCCAAATCCTGGATTTCTTGGAAACTTGAAGGTTCAAATACCTTCTTGGAGCTTTTAACAGCTGCTACTGCTGTCTTAGCAAACTCATCAGCAAATCTCTTTGGAGGTCTGCCTTTTGTGGCTCTCTGAGACCTGCGAATTAGCCTTAAGTCTTCAACACTCTCCTCTTCCTTCTTAGGAGAAAAGTGGCCTATAGTGAACAATGGTTCCTCCAGTTCTTGATCAGAGCTTTCAGAGGGTCGCATAGAGGCTTTCGCACTCTTGAAATCCTCTGAATCACCCGATTCAGTCTCAGACTCAGAATCAGGACCTTCATCAGTGGGTGTGGGTGGTTGCGGCAGCTGTGGCTGTTGCTGCTGCTGTGGCTGTTGCCTATCCTCAGTCTCATCACTGTCATCAGAATAACATTGGAAAATTCCCACATTCTCCCCCCACTTGGCATTGTACTCAACACTTCTTGTGAGCCTAATTGTCTTAGAGTCAAAATTCTCATGTGTTTGATGTATGGTTTCTTGCCAAACATCTTTTCATAGGGGGTACAACCAATCACTGAAGATAACCTGCGATTATAACTGTAAACAAAACAGGCCAAAGATTCGGCCCAATAACTCTCTGGAAGATTGGCATCATGCAGCAAGATTTTCAACCCTTGAAGCAATGTCTGATTTGCTCTCTCACAAAGTCCGTTCTGCCATGGCGAGCGAGGACTAGACAAATCGTGCTGAATTCCTTTCTCAGTCAGAAAAGCTTCAAACTGCTGAGAAGTGAATTCCCCGCGATCAGTGAAAAGAATCTTTATCTTCTTACCATGCACATTTTCCAACCAAGCACAGAATTCCTTGAACCTTGGAAAAGCCTCTGATTTCTGCTTGAGATTGTACACATAAATATAGGATTGTACACATAAATAGGGGGTTGGACTCGATGGCCCTTGTGGTCTCTTCCAACTCTATGATTCTATATACCTGGAAAATGCATCAATGAGAACCATGAAGTACCTGTTTCCACCCAAAGAGGGCGACAGTGGACCAACCAAATCAGCATGCACTACCTGGTATGGTTCTGTAGCTTGCCTACTAGACACCTTACCTTTCGCAGCCATTTTCACTTTGTTTCCTGCGCATGCCTTACACTTCATGTGGTACCTGCAGGGTTTAATAGTCATACCTTCAACCAAGGCAGGCATTTTAGATACTGCCTCAAAATGCAAATGACCAAATTTCCTGTGAAAATCATGAATACATCCTGCATGCAAACTTTTGTTAGAACGTGCAATGCAACAAGTTTCATCCTGCACATCATCATCAAAATACAAAACAAACAAACGATCAACATATTCAGCATGCAATACATAATCGTTTTTCTTTGTGATGGTGCACTTCTTGTTCTTGAAGGAAACGTCAATTTTCCGTTCATTCAGCTGCGCAACACTGAGTAGATTGTGTGCAGCATCTGGAACGTAGAGAACATCTTGTATCGATAAGTCCAAACTGTGAAGAACAACAGTTCCGTAGCCTTGACTGGGGATCGTGTGGTCATCCGCCTGGTTAATCGCACCTTCCTGCGGTGTAAAAGACACGAACAGTCGTTTGTCGTTGCATAAGTGGTGCGTTGCGC